CTTTGGGGAAATATCATCCCGCAAGCAAGCCAAAACAGGACGTGTTGTAGATTGTGGCTATGTCATGTTGAATCCATATTGTGTGAATCGGATTATTTTACCTTGCATGGTTGTTGTAGGATGTTAAATCTGAACTTAATATGGACAGAGTTGTGAAGGCTCAGTCGTTTCAACAGTTTAAAGAATTGGCTGATTTTGGTCTCTAAGAGATAAATTTTGTTAAGATGGTACATCATGGAATATATATAAATATATATAATATATTTTTACAATATGAAAAAATCTGTACTTATTATAGTGATAGAACTCTATCGCAATACCACAAAAGGGTTCACTTTCGTTTTAGAATTGTGTAAGTTTGCTGTGGTTGGTCTTCAACCAAAAAAGTCAATTATATTATGGATAAGACCTAAAAAGACTAGCATATGAATAGTAAAGACGTCTTCAAATTTTTTTTAAATCAATTGCATACAGCGAAACACTGCAAAGAAACTTTGTGATTTGAATACAAAAAAACAAAAATCTGAGTAACACTGTTTTACAGATACAAAATTGACTTCAAAATGGGTTGGTTAAAATGCTGAATCGATGCATGAATTCAATCAGTACTTTCATATCTTATCTTTGTTACCAACGGATTGTTAGGTTGTTACTGGTATTCACCTGAGCGGATTACTGCCTTCCTTCAAAGAGTAGTGTATGTAGAAAGGAAATAAAAATTCATTTTTCTTTACAGTAGTGTTTATACCAGTTCCATAAGAGCTTCTTGCATGCCTAATCCTTTTCTCGCCAGTTTTTTGGGTGCACACAGCATCTTCTTCCAATTTTCAAAGGTAAAACATTGAAATTTCACATGTATGGAGTCATTATTTAAACCAACCTATTTTGAGATCAATTTTATACCAGTAGGGAGTTTCCACTGAATTCGTAAGAGCAGCTAACTTACTTGAGATTCAAGTAATTCAAGCAATCTCAGGTAAGTTAACTGGTTTAATGAAGCCAGTCAAACTTTTTTGAACACTGATTTTAAAAATAAAGGGAATAGGCAAAAATTTTTAATGCAGTTACTCGTACTTTATCGAATTTTAAGTTTTACTCTTAAAGCCTAATTTTTTCAGACATTCACTTCTACTCCAACAAACCGTAACCTTACTTGGATCTAACTAATCTGTACACATCATCTTTACTTCTTTGTCTTGATCATTCATTATTTTACTTATCAGAAATAATTAGTGTTAAATATTGCGATTGTCAACGTAATTATTTAAAAACTATAATTATTTGAAAATTTATTATTATCTATACATCACTAGGTAACGATGTTTGACAAAAGTATATATGAATGTACATATGTAAGTATATGAAGAACATTATGTGTAATTATAGAACATTTGATGCAACGATTAGCAAAGTGAACGTCATATGATGTGATGAACCGTTTTTCAAGGCAATTTTCTGGCGTTCTATTGACGATAAAAGAATTTGTCAAGGTAACACAGCTGGATAGTAAAATATTAGTATAAGTATATATACAAACTATAAATATAACTAATAATTGTGATTTTCTATATTTATAATATTTTGCACTTTTTAAATTTTATGAAAGGTTACAGAATTTTTAAATGTGATTAATTGTTTGGTACGTCAGAAAAGCGCTTCTGAAGTGAACTTTGTTACTTCACATATGGAATATTCATATTCATATTCATATTCATATTCATATTCATACTATTAATTACTGACAAGCAAGGAGATGTAAGTTTGTCTTAAGATTGCGTACTTACGAATATTTAGATGAAATCACGATCATCGCAAAATTCTTTGATGTGTTAGAGTAAAAGTACCTATCATAATTTGTAGGAGTTAAACTTCGTGTTTTAATTGTATTCAGTAGCTGAGAGGGATCATAAATATACAATATTTCATGAGCGCTTTAGAGTTGTTAAAGTATTATTACACACTGAACAAATAGAACAATAATGACCTTTAAAATTCACATTGTAATTCATTCAATAATTGTAGTAACATATGGAACTTCGACAGTTCACACAATTGATTCTTTATACCAAAAATACAAACAGATACATACTAAGATGAGATATAAAATTTTATAAGCAACTGTCCAATGTTTATGGTAGTTTATGGATTTATTTTTTGATTATGCAGACAAATTTAGCTTCAGCAAATTTTGTAAAAGTATAAAGTTGAAATCATATATCTGACTGTATTTCAGTTTGTTTAAAAAATTAAATTGCTTTTTTTACTACGTAAACACCTTAAGGCGGATCATAATTATAGTTGGATATATATCATATTGATCTCTACCGAACAAGTATTCCATGTGTAAGATCATAGTTCTGAGTGTTGTAGTTGGTTTAGTATAATAATAAAATAATCATTTATATTAAGACTATGCAGGTCAATAAACCTTCCCATGATTAAATTCATCATCAGCTTTGTCTTGTTTTTGAGATAGTCCGCTTTTTGGAAAAGCTTTAGAATTTGGTCTTAACCGAGTCTATCCTAAGATCATATTTTTTATCTTTTTATGATTACGGCTTATTACAATTGAAAGTGAAAGTCATTGTGAGATTTCAACCCACTAAAATTATGCGGGTGCATTTCAGATCACTAAGCTCAAATGTACCATATGTATCCTCAAACCTACAGGAGTTTTAGTTTCTCTTTAAAGCGATCACAATGAATAACTGTTTGTTCTACGCCTACAGCAACATTTTGATAGTTTAGAATAAAGGAACTATATGGGTTAAATAGAAGTCCAATTCACAATGTTTTCTTGTCACCTATTCTTCAATGTTGGGAATGAGTATATAGGTAAAGCGTCCTTTGGACGACTGCTTCCACCTTTGTTGCTATTTTTAAGTAAATACGAACGTTCGTCAGATTTTGGAACTGTCGTCGGTATTACTTACTTGTAATAATTTTCATTAAAGCCATAAATTGCATTATCTAATAAACGCAGGCAACACGCAAAGTACTGTGTCTATACGATTAGACGAATCTAGAGGTTTTTTTTTTGGCCGCCTATATACAAGCGACATAAAATATAATAGAATTTATAGCATTTTGCTTCTATTTAGTCAAGTTGTTTGTCCACTATCACTATGTTGCAATGTCTTCAGCAACATTTGTCACTTTATCGGGAAGTTTTATTGTCAGGACTCCATAGCATTCCATATTGTGTGCACCAGTTCTAAGACATAGGACGAAAATAGTATCTTACATCAATTCCATGAGTTGAGCATGTTTTTTATTTCCAGCGTGATGAATGTATAGTATTTCATTTCAGTGTCTTCCGCAGATAGTTTCTTTCGAATGTTTGTTACCATTCTAATCGCATCGATCGTTTATCTAGTCCATAGGAAATATAACTGTTTATCAAAAAAGCCGTAGAATTCTTAGCTCTGATTGTTGATCGACATTCTAGACATACCCTGTCAGAATCCTTCTAATCTCCATGCTCTTATGTACAATTTTCTACTGTTCAATCATGGTATTGTTGTGTTTGCAAAGGTAACGTAAAAACCATATAAATACTTCAATATTTTAATAAATTAAAAACGAAATGTTGCGCAATTTTTAAGGCAGGATCACAATCCCCTCACTTTACTAATTATATTGCTAAAGTACACATTCTATTATGCCTTAATTAACTTAATGTTCATCAAAAAAAATAATTGCATTGAAAAAGGTGAATATAAAATTCTGCACATTATTATTCCACTTTTGTACAATGAAAATACCATTAGACAGTTTTATTTTAAAATTATTTTTATTTTTATTTATTTTGTTACTTAACAGCATTTTAATCAATTATTATTTATAGTGCATAATTATTAAGATAAAAATTATAATTAAAACTTTAATAGAACTTTCAATTTATGTGTGTTTAAAAAACGTTAAGAAATTCCCAATTGTATTTTTCAAACTAATTATAACTTAACGCAACATGTTTCGTAAACATAAATTTCGCTAGCAACATAACAAGCTATGCATATAAAAACTTTATGGCCTTGACTATACACAAACTTATACAAACCTATATGCACATTTGGTGTTGCTTCAGATGTGACAACATTCTAAATCATGTAATTGAAGATGCCACACAGCATGCTTATTTGAAGACGAGTTTCTGCAGCTTTTGAACTTAAATACTGGTAATAAATAATTAAAAAATTGTTTGCCTTTAAACACAATTAAAAGAAAAAAAATAATTAAATAGAAATAAAATTACAATAAAAGACATAAAAGGTTAATATGCAACAGTTATTAGTGATCGATAGCAATGCACAATGCAAAATTTATACTCGTATATAGCAAGAGATAACACAATCATCACAGTCTATATTTATGTTATATGTAACACATAATTATAGCATAATTATAATAACATTACATATAATACCTGGTGATTACTATTAATGAAATGTACAGATCTATGATCAGTTGTATTAAAATTGTATCACTGATCTACGTTCTGGGTATGAACGTAGATTCTAAACAGAGATGGAAGGTACACATCAAGAAAAAATTAACTGAGCTAAATATTAGTAATAAAATACTAACTTTGCTGATTGGAAGGAGATGTAAAGTATCTCAGCAAAACGAACTTAAGTTATACAAACAAGTTTTCAAGCCTATCTGGCTCTATGGCGTACAAATTTGGGGTTGTACAAATTTGGGGTTCCAAAACAAACTACTTAGGGATGCAGTTAACTCTCCGTGGTATGTCCGAAATGCTGATCTATATCGTGACCTTAAAATACCTACTGTCAAGCAAGAAATACAGAAAACTGCTAAGCCATATTATGGCAGGCTTAATCAACACTTAAACAGCAATATTCCGGTATTACTTTGTGATGTTACACACAGAC